TATTAGTTTATATTGATTGCTCTCCTCTCCCCTGGTAAAGGGTTCCTCACGGCTCAGTGCCAAAAATGGTGCCCGCTCCAGTCCGTGCACGGTGATTTCTTCAGAAGAAAAAGGTCCAGGTCTGCCTCCCATTCTTCTCCTTCTTCCGCTCACCATCTGCTTCAGAGAGACTTCTTCTAGACTCTCCTTCGATCACCATTTCAAAAGGGGGATCCTGGACCGGAGGGTTCCAGTTTTTCCAGAGAGCTCTTCTCTGGATTTGCTGGCAGCACCGCAACAAAGCCCTGCCTCTGAAGCTAAGCTTCATGACTGAAGGAAGTCTGTTTACAGAGGCAAGGTATATGCTGTTTTATTCTCCTCAGCTATCTTGGGTTGTTCTGTGTAAAAGACACTCCTCAATTTTTAGTGTAATTTTAGAACAAAAGTGTCATACACTGAAAAATATGGTAACAGTGAGAGTGACTACACTGGCAAAGATTTAAACCCCTAGGTCAACTTGATTTGCAGTCCCTTTTACAACTGTACTCAGATTAGGTGATCACAAAGAACCTGGATTGTTTCAGCACCAGTTTCTGGATTGGCCCTTAATTGGATGCTCATAGCCCCCCTTCCTTTGATATTGCCCACACAGTTATCCCTGGCTCTTCTTTCTTACCCTTTTCCCCCTATGCACAGGTGATCTAGTACTAAACAAATGTATCAAAGCAGTAATAAGATGATCTACTGCTAAACTTGTTTGTTGAAAAAAATACTTCAGAGTGATGAGGGAGTCAGATTGTGGGAATGGTGTTTCTGCTGTCCCAAAACATCATGCTCCAGCTTAATACATCATCATACCACTAGTTACACCCTTTTGTAGCAGGAAACAATCACACAGGAAGTAAACTTCCTATTGTTCCAGCTTCTAAAAAGCAAAAGCCCCCTGCAGCAGGGCAAAGAACAAGCAAAAAAAGGTTGGTCTGATACACATTGACTTTTGTGTTGTGCAGTTACTGAAAAGTACTTCAAATTCACCTGTTTGTCAATGTTGTTGCACCCTGAGTTTCCAAGTTGAGTGCATTCCACACTTACAGTAATTGTATAATTCCTAAAGT